CAGTAATCCTATTTAACAGACAGTAGGCTAGGCTACACTGCCTTATTTATACTAAGGTATGATCACATCATACACCAGTCATACTTGGTGTATGTAGGGTCATAACACCCCTGGAGGCTCCCTGACACCCTCCCTCCCTCCCTCCCTCCGGTCGGCAGTTTTCATAGTTCAAAAACTGGAGTGGTGGGCTGCCCTCTCCCCCTCATCCCTTTCGGGGGGGGGGGGGGAAGGTTAGCACTAACGAGCAGGAGTGCTAGTTGCATGAAGTGTTGCTTGTTTGGTTCCAGTTTAAGTGAGTTATTTTGATATTTTAGGACGTGGATTGCACAGGTTAACCAGACACTGGTCTGTTTTGATTCGCCTACCTTTCTTGGTCCTTCCCCGGCATATGGCAATTATGACATACCTAAAATTTAAATTAAGTGCTCATAAGCCATTGCTCCCTGCGCCTCTGAGAGCACCAGGTTCTGGCTCGTGGTCCCTGATAGGCATAAAGACTCCTGTGATTGATGACCCCAAACTAGTATAGCACATATCAATTTGAATAGCTTCAGGGAGCATTCTGGGCTCACCTAGAAAATATAGTTTCATTACATTCAACACTGACTTTCTGGGGGGAGCCCTTTCGGTTTCCCGGAGCTAACCGGGCTGTTATGATGACTATCCTACCTTCCTCGTAGAGAATATTGACATAACACCACCAGCTAACAAGAAACTTACCTTTAGGATTCACAGTGAAGCAGCAATAGGCAATCTCACAAATGCACTTCACAACATAAACTGGGAATCTGAATTTAATAGTACACAAGATATAAATTCATTAACTAACATCTTCCTTTCCATAATTCTAAGCCTTTACAGCACTTATTTTCCTCACAGTAGGACAGGTCGACGACCGGGCCGCGGGGACGCTAAGCCCCGGAAGCACCTCAAGGTAACCAAGCAAGTAACTAGCAAAAGGTTAAACAATCCCTGGCTCACATATGGCAAATTCAAAGCAATCGATAAGAAACATGAATAAGAAAAAACTTAGGATTGGCCTAGTTACAAAGGAAGTAGTTAAGAGGTACTCATCAGTGCTTACCAGTATAATAAGAAAAGCAAAACTTTCCTATTATGAGAGTGGACTCAAAGAAGCAAAAGGCAACAGGAAGAGCACACGGAGAGCCATCTCTAACATCATAGGATCTAAACAACATTCACATAACCAGATACAAATATACAAATTTCCAAGGATGGTTGTCCACCTGCAGCAGATCTCGGCAACTGAATTTAATAGCTTATTTTCTTTGTTAGTGCTAACCTTGCCAGAAAAATCCCACAAACTCAGACACATGTTACCACATATCTCTCGGGCAGCTATCCCAAACTCTCTTCTCCTTTCACCAGTCAGCCCGACAGATGTTGTGTCCATCATTCACTTACTAAAAACCAAAGCTGGAAATATCAGTGAAATATCATTCATGGTATACAATGCCCGCGCCTCCCACGCCCCTGCGCCACCCATAGCTCTGCTGTTCAACAAATCTCAAGAGTTTCATACCTTCCCTGATATCCTTAAAAAGTAAGAGTAACGCCAGTTCATAGAAGAGGCAATCCCCCAGACATAAACAATTACACACCAATATCAAATCTACCTATATTATCAAAAATATTTGGAAAAAATATTTACAAACAGCTCTACTCCTACCTCGCAAAATTCAACATACTAAGTCCCTGTCGGTTTGGCTTCCGCTCCCAAAAGAGTACCAATTATGTAATTATTAGTCTGCCTGATTTAATCTACTCAGCCCTTGACAAAAATGACTTTCCGATTGGACTCTTCATTGACCTGAGGAAGGCCTTTGATACTGTTTACCATATTTACCTCTAACTTAAACTCCACCATTATTAAATCCGGGGCCTTGCCCTGAATTATATCCGATCCTATCCAAGTGACAGACACCAATATGTAGCCATCAATGACTTAACCTCTCCCACTCTACCATTAACCGTAGGAGTGTCACAGGGCAGCATCCTAGGACCTCTCCTCTTTCTTATATACATTAATGATCTGACTAATGTGTCTAACATTCTTACAATTATATTATTTGCTGATGATACAACCCTCATCTACTCAGACCCCAACCCACACACATTAAATAATGTTGAAAACAATGAACTAAAAAATGTCCACTTGTCGATGTCAACCAACAAACTCACACTAAACATAATAAAGACCTACTACATCCTATTTGGAAGCAAATCAACAAATGCAAGTCAGCTTCAGATAGACAATGTTAACATCAGCAATAAAAATGATGGAAAGTTCCTTGGCCTATACTTAGACAAGAGACTCAACTTCAGCACCCACATACAACACATAATGAAGAAAGTCTCAAAAACGGTTGGAATACTCTCTAAAATCATATATTTTGTTCCAAACTCTGTTCTCCTCTCACTATACTACGCACTAATCGATCCCTATCTTACATATCTGTGCATGGGGCTCAACCTCTGCTAACTTTCTCAAGCCCATCATCACCCAGCAAAAATCTGCCATGAGGTAACAATAACAAACTCTGCTTTCAGACAACACTCAGCCCTTGTTTAAGTCCCTAAACATGCTAAACATAAACTCACTCCACACATTCTTGTGTGTTAATTACATTTATAAAACCCTGTTCTTAAGTGCAAACCTTGTTCTGAAACTCTTTCTGGACAAATGTAATAGAACACATAATCACCACACCAGAAATAAATATCTCTTTGAAATCCCCAGAATCAAACTTAATCTGTGTAAACATCAATGCAAATAAAGGGACCTGGACTATGAAACTCTCTCCCTAACGAATTGAAAAGGTGTCAAACTTTTGCCTTATTTATAAATAAAATCAAAAGTACCAAATTTTATCTTCATAGTATTCTACTTAGTGCTTGAAACTCGCACTGTATCTAGTCCCCCAATATATGTACCTAAGCCATACAACTTTACCATTGTAATCATTGCTGTTATCTTACATCATGTTATACTGAACACACAGTTTACTGCATTATACCTTACAATAACCCTCAAATTATGATACAATATACCTGTGGATAATCATTAAATTTACTTTAATGTACCTACTAATCCTGTCAAATTTCTTATATAATTTATTTTTTATACTTTCTTACAATGAATTTTTATACTTTCTTACAATGTTTTTATACTTTCCTAGCAATGTACCTATATTTTTTTTAAATTTTGCTACATGTTACCTTCTTAAAATTATCTGTTAACTTCAGTATCTGCCCGAAACGCTATGCGTGCTAGTGGCTATACAAGAATGTAAAATATGTTGACCAGACCACACATTAACTTCATACTTCAGCACATACTTCAGCCACGTTATTGTGACTCAACGCCTGCATAAGAATGTAAAACTTCAATACCCTATAAACTCATAAACCCAATGTGCCTTCTTGTATATAAATAAATAAATATTAATGTATTAGACCCCCTGTCATCACTCAATGCGCATGGAGTTCTAGGCCTTCCAGGGACCACGAGCTAGAACCTGGACCCCTCAGAGAGGCACGAGGAGCAATGACCTATAGAAATTCCCGTGTGGTTGGAAGAAGTCTGTCTGCCATCGACCGTGGCAGGCACCCAGAAATGTAAGCGTCCCAAAACAAACCCCTATTCTGGTTAAAATATTGCTACTGAAAGCCGAACTAGTGGACAGAACTTCCCAAATGAAAACGAGCAAACGAGCATGAAGTCACCGCGCCGCTGTCAGCACCACCCCCTTCCCCGGGAGGGGGATGGGCGAATCCCAGACCCCCGCGCCGGCTATCCACCCTGCACTTCTGTGGCTGATGTGAACTGTAGCCAGAGGCGTTGTGCACCTCTGGCTCCTGCGCTTCCAGTTTTGTGCCTTGTGGTGTGGTGCTGTTTTATTGGTGGTGCTTGAGCCAGGAGTTATTTAACAAGTACTCGGGCTGCATGCCCCTAGAGTTCCCTTTCCTACATGCCCTATAAGTACTGACCTTGGGGCTTGGGGCCACCTTCCACAAGTCATCTTGGGATCTACCTCTGCAAGGTCTTTTGCTACTCGGTGATTGACCGCCCTTGGGGTCAGCTGGAGTGTTTCTTGCAGCAGTGTATTGTGCAGCTAGTTTTCACCTCTCATTGCGGCCGACTCTGTTTCGTCTGGGTACGTCGTCCTCTTGCAGGGTTTTTCTTTTGTTTTTGTTTTCCTGCCTGGTAGAGGGTCTTCCCTTTGGTTAGGTCACACCATTTATATCTTGGTGGTCCTCCACTTGGCCCCCAGTGAGTGTACGCATCCCTGGGGTTCAGCTTTATGAATGTAACGAAACACCATTTTCTGGATAAGACCTAGCTGGAAGCTCCTCGGCATCGCTCCCTCCCTCCGGTCGGCAGTTTTATTGTGTTTTTTTACATCCAGCCTCAGAACTTCAGGGTAGATAGCTGGTGCAAGGATCTGGGAGTCGCCCTTCCCGGGGACGGTGGGGAGGGGGGGGGGGTGCGCAGACAGCGACGTGGTGATGTCATGCTCGTTTGCTCGTTTTCATTTGGGGAGTTCTGTCCACTAGTTCGGCTTTCAGTAGCAATATTTTAACCAGAATATGGGTTTGTTTTGGGGCTTACATTTTTGGGTGCCTGACCCGGTCGATGGCAGACGTAGAATGTTTCCAACCACATGGGGGTTTCTATAGGCCAGTGCTCTTCGTACCTCTCTGAGGGGGGGCCAGGTTCTGGCTCGTGGTCCCCAGTAGAACTAGAACTCCATATGCATTGACTGATGCTAGGGTCTAATACATTCATATTAGCCCGGTTAGCTCTGGGGAGCCTTGGGGTCTCAGGTAGGTGAAGCCCAGAAAATGGCGTTTCATTACATTTATCGCTAGTTTTTTGGATTGTATAAACATATCTAAATTGACTGAGCTATTAAATAATAAATTTTGTATTAGTACTGTATATATAATCTGTATAACAAGTAATGATCTGGCACCAGGTGGAGGCGTCTCCACGGGAGAAGTTGGAAGAGGATTCAGTGTTCCTGGGTCTTGTATTGCTGCAGAATAAACTCAAGGTGCAGACGGCGCCTGTCCTGGCAACCCTACACAAGGCGAAGATCACCACTGTCATGGTCACAGGTCGGCTGCTGGTGATTTGTTTAATATTTACAAGTATAGTGGATTTTTTATGAAAATTAAGTATAAATAGATTGATCTCAAAGAACCACAAAGCCCTCATAGCGTTTCGGACAAGTTCAAACGTGAGAAAATTATTTCAAGTATACACTGATAATTTGCAGTGACTGTCATTTAGAATTAAATTAATTAAATTAATTTAATTCAACAGTCAATCTTGAAGTAATAGTAAGTCATCAATATATTATAGCTACCATGTATGCAGGCACTAGTTGTTTAAATATAGGTAATGACTTCTGTATGTAAGATTAGTATTATGGAAATGGGATGATATTAAGAAATGGCAATACAATACAGTCCGAAGTTATATATTTAGATAGTTCACACTAGGTGTCTGAGCAGTAGTACACCAAGAACTTCAACAAAATCTTGTAGATATAAGGCAAAGTGAAATCAACGCCAGTAATTCCATCTATCAACATAACCAGCGTTGAATATAATGAAACCATATTTTCTGGGTGAGACCCGGAGGCTCCCTGAAGCTAACAGGGCTGATATGAATGTATTAGACCCTGGCATCAGTCAATGCACATGGAGTTCTAGGCCTACCGGGGACCACGAGCCAGAACCTGGACTCTCAGAGGGGCACGAGGAGCAATGGCCTAAAGAAACCCCCGTGTTATTGGAAGCACTCTGTCTGCCTTTGACCGGGTTAGGAACCCAGAAAGGTAAGCGCCCCAAAACAAACCCCTATTCTGGTTAAAATATTGCTACTGAAAGCCAAACTAGTATACAAAACTCCCCAAAGGAAAACGAACATGACATCACCATGTCGCCCCGCCGATGTCTGCGCATCCCTCCCCCCCCCCTCCCCCTCCCGAGGAGGAGAAAGAATGATCCCCAGACCCCCGCGTCGAACTATCCACCCTGAAGTTCCGGAAATCCTTCGGGTCTCACCCAGAAAATTGCGTTTCATTACATTCAATGCTGGTTTTCTGGGTGAAACCCTTCGGCTCCCCGGAGTTACTTACCCAAAGACAAAACAAGTGGGACTTACCCAGGAGGTGGTCGGCCCTCACTCCTCAACGCGAAGTTGAGACAACTGGCTGCAACCGCCGACCCAATGCAACACAGGCCCGACTAGGCCCAGGAACAATGACAAGCTCGTATGTCTGCCAGAGCCATTAACCGAATGAGTCGGCATCGACCGTCCATTCCATTTACAGGGGACTGAATAGAGAGAAGCCGTCTGCCAGGACGTTGGACACATACCGAACGTGAACGGCCAGAAGAACCAAACCTCAAGAACTCGGCAGACAAGCCACCCTAAGTGACCAGCTCCAAAGAGCCAATGACCGCATCGAACCCCCTCAGTTCAGGCAATGAACCACCAGGGAGTAGTCCGAATGGAGCTGGATCGTCGATCCACGAGCGACCTGAACCCTCGGAAGTGCACGTGCACCGCCGCAAATTCCCGCACCGTGCTGTGGGCCCGACAGAAGGATGAAACACACCGCCCCGGCCGGCCTGGTGAGCACGGATCATAAAGTCCCATCCAAGAGACAACGTGTCCGTGAACACATCGAACAAGGACTTGGATAGGTGACAACCTGCCAAACACACAACAAAACTACGACGTTGTTACAATGTTCGAACAAGTTTTAACACCTCCTAACCAATTTTAACAACCAGTATAACAAGTTGTAACAACATTCTAATACATCATAAAAAGTTATAACAAGATATATCAACTTTACTACAAGATGTAACATGCGGAAAATAGGGACAGTTATGTTGTGTGTTTGCAGGGAAGGCTCTGAACCCCCAAAAAACCTAAAGAGGAAGCCAGCGACACATCAGCCGATGCAAAGCACTGGAGGCTGATTGCGAGAGAAGTGGAAGGGACGTCCCCGAAGGAACCAGAATAGCCCACGAGGCCAAACTCGACCTGGCGGGTAGACCATCATGGCAAAGTTCAGGCTCCTGCACAAACCCTGGAGCAACTGACTCATGACCCGGGAGCCCCCAGAAACAGGCGAAGTTGGGACTGCAGCTGAAGCAGAGACTCTGAAGGGTGAGACAAGGAAGCAGTCCGAGAATCCCGCAGCCTAGATCAAACTTGAGAGGGAACCAAATTGGACTTTTTGACATCTTAGATGTACTATATAGTCGTAATGGCATCGTGCTTTCCCCTGATAATAATTCTTCCATTTCTCAAGGAACCCAAACGCGGAGAGCTGGGAAAGAACCAAAACTCTAGTGAGCAGAAAAGCGGACTGGCTGGGAGCCCATACCAGCCAGTCGTTGAGGTACGCCAGAACCTGAACCCCCTAAGAGATGCAGACAGGCCACAACGACCCGGGTAAGGCGTGTGAACACGCGAGGTGCCAGATTCAAGGCAAATGGAAGGCAATGAACGTGGAAAGCCTGACGCTCTACAACAAAACCGAGCCAGTCCTTGAACCTTGGATGAATTGGGACGTGCTAATACGTGTCCTGGATGTCCAGGGATACAGTCCAAGCACCCGGTTCCAACAGAAGACGGACCTGGGACAGAGTAGTCATTCGAAAGGAGGGGCAATAAACCCGCGGGGTTCAGACAGGACAAGTCCAGAATGAATTGGAGGACTGCTCAGTCTCGTTTCGGAACCGGAAACAGGAGGGGAAACCCACCTGAGGGACGGGGTCATTTCGACCACGCCCTAGCGAACCCACTCTGAAATGACTCAACAGAGCGCAAGAGAAGTGGCCTGCCCCACCAACCCCAAACCCCCTGAAGAAGGATGGGACCACCCAACACCATAGGAGGCTGCTCAAAACGACCCGAAAGGCCCACAAATCATGGGACCAGGTGTGAGCAAACAGAGCGAGACGCCTCCCCAGATGTCAATGGGACGAACTGCAAATGAGCCGACGCCCCTTACGTGAACGCGACCTCCACGAAGAACGATCACTGCACCGACCAGATGAAGACGGTTCCGAAGGCTGTGCCGGCTCCGAAACTCGCACCACTGGCCTACCAAGACGGGAGGAACCCCGATCCCTGGCATGACCCTTCTGGTAAGACCCCACAAAGGCCCCCCCAGAGAACCAAAAAGTCCGACATGGAACGAAAACTGGAAGCTGCCTGCTGATACTGCACCACGGCAGACTCTGCAAACAGCAATGGACAAAAAGGTGACGAAAACCTAAGAGCCAGGGCCCAAGCAGATTCCTTGGAGGTAGCAAGCACGGAAAGCAAAAAACAGTGACACCGCATCCCACAGGATCAGCTGGTTTCCCTTCAAAGCTTTAAAATAGCAGACGATGCACGCACCACCGGGACCAATGCACTAGATCCAGGATCTGCCCCAAGCACAGCCTCGTCCTCCTCAAGCCAGTCTGAGGATGGCTGCAGAAGGGAAAAGAACCGCAAGACCGACGCCAACAGGCCACGAGCGTGCAAGTCCTCAGCGACCAGTGCAGGCAAGAGAGGGTGGGAACCTGCACATGAAGCTGCACAATGTCGACATACCGAGGAAGGGTAGGGGCGAACAAGCACGCATAAAGGTACTCAACGTCGCTCCCCAGGAAAACCTGGACCACCGTATGAGCCTCGTATGAGACCACCGCGCGGAACAGACAGAACATATGCCAAGCCTCCAACGAGAAAAAGGGGCAGTCCCCAAGGCAGGATGACTCTGGAACCTCATAACGTATTCAATAAGGAAACGATGATCCAAACACGAAGGAAGAAGGATTCATTATGGAGACGTAATCCGGGTCGCGCAGGCGGTAAAGCACAATGGCCTCCCACACCACATGAGGCGGAATGCAGGAGGCTGAAAACCTCCAGAAGGACGGGAGTGAAGAACTCAAGGGATTACGGAACCGAACCAGGAGAGGGACTAACACCAAATCCAACTCGTACGAGGAGGGAGGAAAAGAAAACCCCACTTCCTGTAACTGCAAGCACCGCTCAGAGGGTACAAAAATCCAAGCAGGGTCTAACGGGCTTCAAGGGCTCTCCATGTCAGCCCCTCCCTTGCTCTGGAAACCTCGCCATGAGGACCCGGCGTCGAGCCATCCTCCAAATCCCCTACCTCAAAAGAAAAGGTGGGAGCAGCCGATAAAGCAGGAACGAAGGGGGGCCCACTTGTCAGACCCAGAAGCTCCGGCTGGCGGAACATGCTCGAAAACCTCCATCAGCACACTGGAAGGGGCATCCCCAAAACTGCTAGTCTCAACACCAGCTAGACCCCGGCCCCGACCCCGAAACCCTTAGATGCTTCGGAGCCGGAAGCAGGGGGAGGGGGAGAAGAACCAGGACGAACAACAGAAGGGGAAGGACAAGGGGGAACGGACTGAACCAAAGTCGAAGCGACTATAATACCCTCCACCCCCAAGTCTGAGTCCCTATAATCAAAATGAAGCAGTCTTCAGGTAGCAACTAACCTAGCGCGTTGCAGCAACCTAAACCGAGCATGCAACGCCGAAGCTGCCTGCACTCGAATAACATTATCAGTGGACTGGGTGTATTGAAATATAAACAAGGAACAAAACTCGCAGGACTCTGGGTCGAAGGTGTCTCCGACTCAACAGGCAGCATGACGGAGGCACACCTGGTGATTGTCACCCTGAGACAAGGGGAGTGAGCAACCTTCAAACTCACACGAAGCGAGAGGGGACCCAGGAGTCGCATCCATCGAACCAAAGCACCCCCGCGGGGTTTCCCAGGGGCTCATAGTTGCATAATCTTGCTAAGGGAAGCCCATGCTGGGAGGGCACTATTAATCAGCTCCCAAAGTTACCAAACAAACTGCTACAGCTGAACACCCGGGACATATGCACTCACTGGGGCCTAGTGGAGGACCACCAAGATATAAATGAGTGTGACCAAAACCAAGGGGCAGACTAGAGCTCCCCACCAGGCAGGAAAACAAAAAAAAAATAAAAAAACGCACAAGGACAACATATCCAGGCGGGACAGAGCCGGCTGCTATGAGAGGTTAAAACTAGCTGCACAGTACCCTGCATCCCAACCAGTAATGAAACTACCCCCTGCCGAGAGGCAAACAGAAGTGCAAGAAACACCCCAGCTGACTCTAAGGGCGGTCATTCACTGAGCAGCAAAAGACCTTGCACTTGTGGAAGGTGGCCCCAAGCCTCAAGGGCAGTACTTACAGATCACCTAGGGAAGGGGACCCTATAGACGCAGGCAGCCCGAGTACTTGCGAAATAATTTCTGGCTCTCACACCACTGTTGCGAGTAAACCTTATACTTGCTCCACTCTCTCATTACCTTAATGACAAATTAATTAGCACTACTTATGACTACTCAAATCCTTTCCCTAATTACAGGTAACGCTCTTTTCATCGTGTTGGAGGAAGCTGAAGTATAGTCACCAAATATAAGCAAGCTTGAAGTGAATAACCAACAGTACAAATTTCCACAGTCAAGAATGTAGCACTTGGCGTATGCAGTTCTAATTGACCCCAAGACACTACAGCTTCGACACAGAGAAGACAGCAGACTAGGACCGCATCGAGCTACACCGCTCTCGCTCCCCATCAAGTTTAGACACTTAAGATTCCCCATCAAGCCGCCATGCTCTCCCACATAGAGCTCCGTGACTCTGGCCTCTCTGCTCTGCTCTAAGCTCCGTGGCAACGTCTACGACACTGCTGTATCCAAGACTACTAAATAAATATGAAACCCACTAAACACTACGTATCTAATCTACTCAACAACGTAACATAAACGTACGTTACATTGGTGACATCAGAGAGTTTCGACGATACCCAGCCACGACGAACTACAACATGGACTCTCACTGGACCTCTGCTACTGCATGCTGTGGACCGCTGCCACCTGTCATGGAACGCTGCCTGCAACCTCACCACAGCTATGATTTTCACCGCGATTATCTCTGCATGTTCATCTGCTACAACTTGCTGCACCGCGATCGTTACTTACTCATACGTTACACCACCAATGAGACAGCATCACACCACAAGGCACAGAACTGGAAACACAGGACCCAGAGGTGCACGACCCTGCCAGTTCACATCAGCCACAGAACTGCAGGGTGGATTGCCGGCACGGGGCATAGCGGGGAACGTTGGGCAGACAGCGACGTGATGACTTATGCTCGTTTGCTCACTTTCATTTGGGGGAGTTCTGTCCACTAGTTCGGCATTCAATATTTTAACGAGAATATGGGTTTGATTTGGGGCGCTTACCTTTTTGGGTGCCTGATCTGGTCGATGGCAGACATAGAATGCCTCCAACCACACAGTTTTTTTTATAGGCCATTGCTTATCTTGCCTCTCTGAGGGGCCCAGGGTCAAATACATTCATATCAGGTCGGTTAGCTCCGGGGAGCCAAAGTGGCTTCCCCCAGAAACTATCATGCAAGAGGAACCTCACATTTATGGATCATCCAATAAAATTAGCAGACTTATAGATGTTACTACTGCTCGGCTTATACTCTGTTACAAGTATCTCTGGGAATTGTCGTTATCTGCTGATGTAGACCTGACCAAATGTAAACTGTGTCAACAAAATTATTCGCACACCCTCCGTCACTATGTGATGGAGTGCGAAAAGATACGTGAATTTAGAGACAATTCTATAACCAATGTTCCAGCGATGTGTAAATATTTAATTCAAAATTACCTGCTGCCAGAAGTCTTGGCCAAATATCCCCAGTTTGCTAACTGTAGGTAGTATCTGAGTAATTGTAACCTATCCATCGCTGCCCATTAGATGGGGGGCGGTGTGTAGGGTAAGCATATCAATTGTGATACTAGCCCTCCACACATGTCAGTTGCTTAAATTAGGACACTGTACTTGTGGTCGGTCTCGAGCCCATTGTTGATATGACAATGTTCATTGAATTTTGTAACTAGATCATCAAAATTGTAACTTGCTTAGCTCTATAAATTGTGGGGCTCAGTCCCTGAGCCCATTATGTGCCTCTGTCCCTGAGCCCATTATGTGCCTCTGTCCCTGAGCCCATTATGTGCCTCTGTCCCTGAGCCCATTATGTGCCTCTTTAACCCTTTCTACTACCGCACACAAGATGGGTATGGGGTGCAAAATAAATGCACTAAACTAACTAACTCCTACACGAGTTAACTTTGTGATGATCTTTACCAGGAGACAACTTGTTGACGGCACTGAGTGTGGCTCGACAAAGTGAGATGGTGCAGGTTGGCCATCAGGTAATTGTTGTTAAGGCAGTTGCTGAGGCAGCTTCAGCTGTAGCAGCACAGCACCTCAAAGTCTTCTTTTATGATGCCGACTACCAGCAAGGGCTTCACAACCAGGTGAGATGCCATGATATTTATGTACAATAAAGGTTCCATGTTCTGACAAATATGTATTGTTCATGTCAATATTTAGGTGCATAAGCTGACATAACACTTGTTTATTTTAGAGTAAATTTCTCCCGCTGCGAAACGACAAGTACGTGCTGGCTACAGACGGGGAGTCATTTGACTTGATCGCCAATGGGCAAGATAAGGACCTCTTCTATCGGCTGCTACACAAGGGTCGGATCTTTGCCAGAATGAAGCCTGAACAGAAGATCACAGTCGTGGAAACTCTTCAGCATCTTGGGTATAATTATTGAAATCTATTCCCAAGTTATTTTACTCTAACTTGCATGAAATTTATTTACATTTTGGGGATTATGCAAAAACAAGCCTTATAGGTAGGCCTACTTGTTACCTCTATCGAAAAGTGTAGGAAACAGGTGCAGCTCAACATAATTCCCGTTGGCGGGATAGGAAGCCTGTACCATGGCTTGTACCAAGGTCTTATCTAGATTGAACTACTGACCTTTCCAGAAAATGCAACCCACATTAGTTGCCTAACTCCTGGCATATATTTACTGGAAGAACAGAGGCAGAAGGTGAAAGGAAATGTGCCCATTTTCGTCCTGTCCGGGGATTGAACCAAGGATCCCCATTTTTAGTTTTTGAGTAAGGAACATAGACCTCTGTGTATAAAAAGCCATGCAAAAAAAGTGGGTATAGCTAGTGTTTACAATGATACTTAACCAGTTGAGTGATTCACACGCTTTGGTAGGTGCAACACCTCCCTTTTGCCTACTCTGTGACTCTTACAATGTCTACCCGCGAGTACCAGGATATACCCCTGCTCACTGAATCTCAGAGGATGAAGAAATGGTCCAGGCTTGGGGCCCAAAATGCACTACCGGTAAGGATATTGCCAATGAGGTTAATGGTCTAATCCTGGCACATCTCTGGTGTGGCTATTGCCGATGAGGATGATGACCCTGGCTGGGCTCCATATAGTGTGTTTGTTGATGACTTCGTGGATGCTTCATCAACTTTGGAATTGGTTGTTATTGTTTGCTCAACTAGTAAGGTATGCGCGTTTATGAACTCTTGCACACTATCAGAGACTATCAACACCTCTTCTTTTGTAAAACGTTACGTTGATAATTATCTTAGTTTTGAGCAAGGGTGCAGCTCTTCATCTCCATGTCCACAACTCGTGTGTCTCCTGCTTACTGGGAGAGCCTTGGTTCCATCTAATCCCTGGGTGACTGGCAGGTCACGTGTCAAGGAGTCCTATTTCAGTCTACAGAATCGGCCACCAGGTATTGATGCATTGGCCCTGTGGACCAGGATGTCTCTTTGGATGAGATTATGCTTCTTCTTCTTCTCAATACGTGCAATTTGCATGAAGGTTTTTCCTCCCGATGACTGCACGAGTGGTGATGTTGATAGATGCGGCACTTTCGGTGGCATAGCAATGTTCAGAATTTAGCAGATGTTGGAAGTTATCGATGTCTTGTATTTATGTGAGGATAATGAGAAAAATAGACATATAAGTAGAAATGGACTTAGGATGGCAAAGATGAGGGGTGGTGTTAATGGTGCTATCCAAATGCTGATGTTTTAAGAAACGTGTGGCTTAGTCAAGAGACAGATTGTGAGTATGTTTGGGAGTTAGACGCAATTCAGATAAGTTAGGGTAGATTATGGTAGGGAGTACATTAAGTAACAAAGGGTTAATGTGTATAAGGTTAGATATTAGGTTGGGGTAGGCTAGGTTAGGTATGGTTGGGGGTAGGGTAGGTTAGGTTTGGTTGGGGGTAGGGTAGGTTAAGTTTGGTTGGGGGGTAGCGTTGGTTAGGTTTGGTTGGGGGTAGGTTTGGTTGGGGGTAGGTTTGGTTGGGAGTAGGTTAGGTTAGGTTTGGTTGGGGGGTAGGGTAGGTTAGGTTTGGTTGGCGTAGGTTATTTGAAGAAGGGCTGTTATGTTGTATTTCAGATTTTTACATCTGGGATGTGATTACATCGGTCATCTTTGACGAGTTAGTAGTACACCATGTTGCATATCTGGAAGTAGTTGGAGGATGTGTCGTGGGAGAGTGTGGTTAATGTAATTTTCCAGTCAAAGTACCAGGTCGTTGGGAAGTTTGTACAGCTGAGGATTTCTTACTCTTGGTGCTGGTGGTTGGGTTTTGAGGCAAGTCATCCTGGGGAGTGACTTTGGTAAGGCGCGCTAAGGAGTTATTTAGGAGTTTTTCCACCATCAATTCAAGCTACGTGTATCCGGCAATTGTAGCTGTGTTTGGGCGGATGTCATTGTCTGTAGATGTCGATGGGATGTCTGTTGGGTCAGCCTCGGGGATGGGTTGAGTTACTTGTGTAAAGAGTTTAATTAGAAGTCGGTCCAGTGTCTTTTCTAGAGCATTTTTAATGCTAGTGACAAGAGTTTTAACAAGATCGGGACTCGGTTGTACATTTTGTGGAAGAGGATTGGACTCTGAGGGTGCAAGATTGTTAGTGACAGACATCTCAGGTACACACAAAGGTTGTGGCCGAGTGTGAGGTAGCGGTTGATGTGAGTTAGGTTGTTTTACTGCACGACTTTAATATTACAGGTTGATGGTAGGGAGAATCTTAGTTTTTGCTGCTGCTGTTATGTATGAAGGTCATTGCTTGAATGTAATGTTATGATCACCACCACGGTTTGAGCAGGTGAGTATATCTGATGCACAGTCTTGTGTAAAATGGGAACCAGAGCATTTCCCACATTTAATGTCTTTTGTGCAGCTTTTCGAGGTATGGATAAAACCTTTACATTTAAGGCACTGAGTGGGACGTGGTACGTACACCTCTAGTTTAAGGAGGAAGACGATACACCATACCCTAATAGGGGGAATGTAGTCTAGAAAGGTAAGCAGGCCAGTGCCTGTATCACTCAGTTCTCCGTTTGTTCTTCACATAATTTGTTTGACTCCGAAAATTGGAATGTCATCTGTTTGAAGCTGTGCCATGATGTCGTCTGCACTTATGTCTACAACATGTCGGATTACATATTTAGCTAATCGGTCTCCTAGTGATTGGTAGCATTTGACTTTGTATCACACCACACACACACACACACACACACACACACACACACACACACACACACACACACACACACACACAAAATTATAGTCGTAGTCATATAATCCACCACCAAATGACAGAAGACCGAGACAGGAATACGATAAAAACATGGCCACCATTAACATAATAGAGAGAGCAGTTTCTGTTGCTAGCAGGAATGGGTCTGGACTACTAATCATGAGAGACTTCAACCACGGGAAGATAGATTGGGACAATGGAGATCCGCATGGAGGACCAGAAACATTGAGAGCTAAGCTGCTGGACGTGGCAACAAGACACTTTCTAAGCCAGCACATCAAGGAACCAACTAGAATAAGAGAAGATGAACCAGCCATGCTCGATCTGATATTTACCCTAAATGAGTGGGATATAAGGGAAGTTAAGATGGAAGCACCCTTGGGAATGAGTGACCACAGTGTATTGAACTTTGAGTACCTGGTAGAGCTAGGAATTATCTCACCCAAAAAAGAACTAGGAAACAAAAGGCTGGCATACCGAAAAGGGAACTATGAGGAGATGAGAAGTTTCCTAAGGGAAATACCTTGGGGGCACAGACCTCAGAGCTAAGTCTGTACAAGATATGATGGACTATGTCACCAAAAAGTGTCAGGAGGCAGTAAACAGATTCATCCCGGCCCAAAGGGAAAAATCCGAGAAGCAAAAGAAGAATCCATGGTATAATAGGGCATGTATGGAAGCAAAGGGACTGAACAAAAGGGCGTGGAGGAACTTCCGGAATAACAGAACACCAGAAAGCAGAGAGAGAGATACCAGAGAACCAGGAATGAGTATGTTAGGGTGAGAAGAGAAGCAGAGAAAAATTATGAAAATTATATAGCAAACAAAGCCAAGACCGAACCAAAGCTACTCCATAGTCACATCAGGAGGAAAACAACAGTGAAAGAACAGGTAATGAAACTTAGATCAGGCGAGGACAGGTACACAGAGAATGACAGAGGTGTGTGAAGAACTCAACAAGAGGTTCCAGGAGGTCTTCACAATAGAACAAGGTGAGGTCACTGTGTTGGAGAAAGGGAAGTAAACCAGGCGGCCTTGGAAGGGTTGGAAATTACGAGAGAGGAGGTCAAGCGACACCTGCTGGATCTGGATGTTAGAAAGGCTGTTGGTCCAGACGGGATCTCACCATGGGTACTGAAAGAGTGTGCAGAGGCACTTTGCTTGCCACTCTCCATAGCGTATAGTAGGTCACTGAAGATGGGAGACCTACCAGAAATATGGAAGACAGCGAATGTGGTCCCAATATACAAAAAAGGAGACAGGCAAGAGGCACTGAACTACAGGCCAGTGTCCTTGACTTGTATACCATGCAAGGTGATGGAGAAGATCGTGAGAAAAAACCTATTAACACATCTGGAGAGAAGGGACTTCGTGACAAAACGCCAACATGGGTTCAGGGAGGGTAAATCTTGCCTGACTGGCTTAATAGAATTCTACGATCAGGTGACAAAGATTAAGCAAGAAAGAGAAGGCTGGGCAGACTGCATTTTTTTGGACTGTCGGAAAGCCTTTTACACAGTACCGCATAAGAGATTGGTACATAAGCTGGAGAGGCAGGCAGGTGTAGCTGTTAAGGTGCTCCAGTGGATAAGGGAAGCAATAGGAAGCAGAGAGTTACGGTGAGGGGTGAGACCTCAGATTGGCGTGAAGTCACCAGTGGAGTCCCACAGGGCTCTGTACTCGCTCCTATTTTGTTTTTTGATATATATAAATGATCTCCCGGAGGGTATAGACTCATTTCTCTCAATGTTTGCTGACGATGCCAAAATTATGAGATGGATTAAGACACAGGAAGACTGCTTGAGGCTTCAAGAAGACCTAGACAAGCTGAAGGAATGGTCGAACAAATGGTTGTTAGTTTAACCCAAGTAAATGTAATGTAATGAAGATAGGTGTAGGGAGCAGGAGGCCAGATACTAGGTATCATCTGGGAGATGAAATTCTTCAAGAGTCAGAGAGAGAATAAGACTTGGGAGTTAATATCACGCCAGACCTGTCTCCTGCAGCCCATATGAAGAGGATAACATCAGCGGTATATGCCAGGCTGGCCAACATAAGAACGGCATTCAGAAACTTGTGTAAGGAATCATTCAGAACTTTTTATACCACACATGTCAGGCCAATCCTGGAGTATGCAGCCCCAGCATGGAGTCCATATCTAGTCAAGGA